GATCATGGAAATTATAAAAGAAAGCATCTAACTGGGGGCTCACAGTTCTAATGCTCCATGACCATCATGTTGGGAAGCATGGCAGCAGGCAGGCAAGGCACTGGAGCAGAAGCTGAGAGCTTACATCTGACCCACAAGCACGAGGCAAAAAGGGAGAGAGCTAACTGGGAATGGTGTGAGCTTTTCTTCTGCCCTCCATGTGTGTACCATAGCACTCATGTGCACATGCACAGAAATAAATAAATATAATGAAAATAAAATCAAAATGATCCACAATAGCCTGGACAGATGCTCTGCCATCCAGGCCCCGAAGTTAAGAGGACACAGAGAGGTTGGCTTGCAATGGACATCAACATAATACAAAACAAACCACCAAGACTTTAGGGTGAGTGGTTACAGTACTCTTTTGACTGACAGAGGCAGACACCCAATCAGTTTCAGGAAAGCCCAGCTGGACCTTCCCACTCTGCTCAGGTCAGGCATGTTTCCCACTTCTGTGTGGCTCCTGTACCAGCAGCTGGTTTTGTGTGTTAACTTGACACAAGCCAGAGAGGAAGAAGGAGTCTCAGTTGGGGAAATGCTTCCACGAGATACAGCTGTAAGGCATTTTCTCAATTAGTGATCAGTGAGGGAGGGCCCAGGCCATGGTGGGTGGTGCCATCCCTGGGCTGGTGGTCCTGGGTTCTTAAGAAAGTAGGCTGAGCAAGCCATGGGAACCAAGCCAGAAAGCAGCACCCCTCCAGGATCCTGCCCTGTTTGAGAGCCTGTCCTGACTTCCTTCAATAATGAACAGCAATATAGAAGTGTAAGCCAAAATCCCTTTTCTCCCCAACTTGCTCTTTGGTGATGGTATTTTGTTGCAGCTATAGAAACATAACTGAAACAGTTCCCTGTCTCTTATTCTTCCACTAACCCCTAAACTGAAGTTGAATAAGCTTTGTGAACTATAGGCATGGTCGTCACTCCCCAGATAACCGGAAAGGTGTCAAAAGTGTCAATGGCCCCAGCAGTACCTGCCCACTGGAGAACACAAAGCCATTATCATGAGGCCAGGGTGCAGTGGAGTGCAGCCTATTCTGCCACTTCATTGCCATGACTCCAGAAACCATTGTCCCCCACAGTACTCACTGGGAACCTTGCAAGCTACACAAGTTCGTTCTGCTTGACATCAAGGCCTCAAGGGAGGACGTGAATTTTTTTTTTTTTTTTTTTTTTTGGTTTTTCGAGACAGGGTTTCTCTGTGTAGCTTTGCGCCTTTTCCTGGAGCTCACTTGGTAGCCCAGGCTGGCCTCGAACTCACAGAGATCCGCCTGGCTCTGCCTCCCGAGTGCTGGGATTAAAGGCGTGCGCCACCAACGCCCGGCCAAATTTTTTTAATGATTCATTTATGACTTGTTTATTAACACCCACAGAGACTTCTGTTATCGGAGCAAAAAATTCACTATTCTTTATTTAAAAAAGATTGCTATCATTGTATGTGTTATGCTCAAGTGTCAGTAGTGTATTCAGCTTGTGTATAGGAGCCATAGAGGCCAGAAGAGGGCATCTGATCCCCTAGGGCTGGAGTTATAGGCAGTTGTCAGCTGCCCGATATGGGTGCTGGGAACCACGCTCAATTCCTCAGAGAGAGTAGCCTGTGCTTTTAACCACTAAACCGTCTCTCCATTTCCATCATTCTTTAAGTAAATAAACAAAAGACCAAAAACAAAACCACCATTTAAAAAAACAGAAACAAGCCGGGTGGTGGCGGCGGCGGCGCACGCCTTTAATCCCAGCACTCTGGAGGCAGAGGCAGGCGGATCTCTGTGAGTTCGAGGCCAGCCTGGTCTCCAAAGCAAGTTTCAGGAAAGGCGCAAAGCTACACAGAGAAACCCTGTCTTGAAAAACCAAAAAAAACAAAAAACAAAAAACAAACAAACAAAAAAAAAAACAGAAACAAAATTCAGCTTTCAAGATGAATCTTTTGCGGCAAAGGCAAATGAATGCTCTGTGAGTGTTTGGTTTACCTTGAATGCCTGCCAGAGCTGCTGCCTGGGTCCTGATAATGTTTCCCCCTTTCTCCAGCCTCTCTGAAGCCCCTGTGATGGTGAGGACCTTATGACAATACGTGCACTTCTTACTCTATATTCAAGCTTCATTACCATACAGTATCAGATAGACTTTTAAAAATTAACCTGAGGTTACACAACACACATTGGACAACATGTAGTTCTCCTCCTTTGTCTCCCAGAGGAGCTGAAGTTCCAAAGTACAGACAAAGCCATCCATTTTCTGAATCCTCCAGTTTGTGCAAAGGAATATTATCCACACAGTCTTCACCAGCTACAGTACGGTTTAGTCATGCCTTGAACTATACCAACCCTTGTAGATTTTGACCATAATTCTCCACAGGCTGCAAGGTGCCAGAAAACAATCAGGTTACACAGATAGCAGCAAAATACAGCTGAGTGACAAGAATATCTCCTCTGAAACAAGAAAGTTACCTTTGAAGATCCAAATGCATTTAAGATCCATATTTATATCAAAGTCACCATGCAGACACCATAATGAAGATTGAAAAACCACCCAGTGGAACATAATGCCATTTCCAATAGGATGGTCACCCAAGGTATGCCTGCCTAAGCATAGCATATTGAAAAACTGAAGAAAACCTAGACCACACAGCAAAACAGAGGAGAGTGTGAATGTAGGAAAGAGAAATAGGCAAGAATAAAGGCAGAGAGAGAGGCTGCTACTAAGGCTTTTCAGATGTTTCTAGAAGGCAAGTACATCAGAGAATCCTGGATTAAGGAAGTAACATTCCCAGAAGTGGTTAACATTTCTTTTTTTAACTTCTGGATATGAAAGGCTGACCACTCACGGTGTGCATGGCAAGTTCCTCCTGGTTGTTTTAGGTTCACAGTGATGGACTCGGGTCAGCCAGTACAGAGGACTGACATGGTAAAGAATTGAAACAGCTTGTAGTTTTCTCTATTTTGTTGCTCTAAGTTGTTTTTTTTTTTCTATAATTCCTAATTTCCAATGGGGAAAGATGTTGTTGGTTGTTTTTTTATTCTTTTGCTCTTAGCTCTTTTGGGGGCCCACCATTCAACTTCCAAATAAATAACACATGGAGGCTTATTCTTAATTATAAATGACCAGCCTTAGCTTGGCTTGTTTCTTGCTAGCTTTCCTTAAATTATCCTGTCTACCTTTTGCCTCTCTGGGCTTTTACCTTTCTTTATTTCTATGTATCTTTTCTTTCTTACTCCATTGCTGGTTGTGCAGCTGGGTGGCTGGCCCCTTGCATCCCCCTCTTTTCTCACTCCTAGATCCTCTCCTCCCAGATTTCTCCTTCCATTTATTCTCTCTGCCTGCTATCCCTGCCTATCCTTTCTCCTGCCTTGCTATTGGCCCTTCAGCTTTTTATTAGATCATCAGATGTTTTAGACAGGCAAAGTAACACAGCTTCACCAAGTTAAACAAATGCAATGCAAAAGAATGCAACACATCTTTGCATCATTAAACAAATGTTCCACAGCATAAACAAATGTAACACATCTTAAAATAATATTCTACAGAAAGAGGTCATGTAAACTTTGCCCCTGAAGAGTATGTGTTGAACACCTAACAAACTCCAACTCTGTTTCCACCACCTAGTCTTTTGCACTGTGTGTGGATGCCTGCCTGTGCATGTGCATCGATAGTAAACAGCCCAAGCCTTTCTCAGTTGTTCCCCACTTTCTCAATTGTTGCCTTAGGCCTGTCTTCAGATGACACTGCTGAAGAATAAGACTTACCAGACTACATGGTACTAGGAGATGCCACCTTCGATGTTTCTAAGAATTTTAAGGCTTTTACTCCCATCTTGTGTCCCCCACCAACCCCCTCCCCGCAACACCTTGATGTAATCCATGCTTGGGAACTATTATTTCTTTTGTAAAGAGGCTGAGATGAACACATCATTAGGATGATTTTTGTGTTCCACCTTCCTTGCTTTGCTTATAGTTTATTTTACTATCACTGGTAAAGGAAAAGAAGCAGGCAGGAACCTTGCATGGGTGCTGGTGGGTCCTACACAATGGATGGATGTGGGAGCTGTGTAAGAAAGCTGTGAACTTACTGTGAACTATGGGTGGAGCAGAGTGCAGAATGTTCTTCCCACAACATGGCCTTCCAGAAAGAATCACATAAACTATAATAAGTGAATACACTTGGAAGCAAGGGTATGAAGGGAATGCCCTGGCATATCCAAATTATCTATGTGGAAAGGCAAAGGCCTGGGAGGAATATTCTTGACTCTTTTTACAAGACCAAAGAAGATAATGACATCAGGTGTATTTCCTTGCTGTACTTGTATTTGCTTAATTATAAATGTCACCTCATGTTTTTGCTTGCTTTAATAATTAAAATGAGAAATGTTTTGTTTGCACAAAAGCCTTGAGCTAAAACGCCTGGAGTTTGACTCCCCAGGCAGGTCTTCGGATTATCATACCATCCGCAGAGGCTGAGCCTCACTGGCCACAGGGCAGGTGAGCAGACAGAGGTAACCTGGCTATGAGGATATGCAAGAGGGACATGGACATCTTAGATCTGCTTTATTGTATTCCTCTTACACTATCATCTATCTATCTACCAATCATCTATTGGTTTGTTGGTTTATTTGAGACCAGGTCTCACTATGCAGCCCTGGCTAGCCTGAAACTGGCCAGGCTGGCCTTGAACTCAAGAGATCTGTCTGCCTCTGTCTCCGGAATGCTGGGATTAAAGGCGTATAGCACAACTGGCCTAATCTATTTATCATCTATCTATTATGTATCGGTCATCTACTCATCTTCCTATCTATCATCTAATCGTCATCCTTTTTGGAATATTAACATGTGGAAACAGGACGGGCACACAAAACTAATGCTCAGGCAAGAAGGACGGTAGCCGATTGGGCACCCTGGGAATCTGTGCAGGAGACTGTAAAGAGCATGACGCATTCAGGCGGCGCCGAGAGCAGTGAGCGCGGGAAGGTGACGCAATCGCGTAGCGCCGGAAGCGGCTGAGCGGGCCATGGAGGACAGACCCGCCGGCGGAACCCTCCCGCGAGAGGCCTCGACTGAGGAGGCTGAGCCGCTGGGTGCTGCGTGGAGCGGGGACAGCGGCCACGTATCGCAGAGCCACAGCAGCGCGTCGGGGCCGTGGGAGGATGACGGCCCCGAGGACGCGCCGGGCCGCGACCTGCCGCTGCTGCGCCGCGCCGCTTTGGGCTACGCCTCCAGCCTGCTGCCCGCCCCGGGCCCGCGGCCCGAGGTGGAGGCCCTGGACGCCAGCCTGGAGGAGCTGCTGGCCAGGGTGGACGAGTTCGTGGGCATGCTGGACATGATTCGCGGAGACTCGTCCCACGTGGTGAGCGAGGGCGTGCCGCAGATTCACGCCAAAGCGGCGGAGATGAGGCGCATCTACGGCCGGATCGACAAGCTCGAGGCCTTCGTGAGGATGATCGGCTGCAGCGTGGCCAGGTTGGAGGAGCAGGTCACCAAGGCCGAAGCCGAGCTGGGGACCTTCCCTCGGGCTTTCCGGAGGCTCTTGCACACCATCAGTGTTCCCGCTCTCTTCAAGTCGGCGCCCACCGGGCCCCAGCGCGCTGCCTACGAGCCGCCGGTCCTGTTTCGGACCGAGGACCACTTCCCCAGCTGCGATGACAGACCGCAGCTCTGAGCTTGCGCCTCTACCGCAGGAGGACTCCAAGGAGACTCTTGTCCCGAGTGTTAAGAGATCCTGCCTTATGATGTCAGGATGTGAACTGTGAAAAGGTTATTTTCTGTAAACGACTTGATACTGTCAATATTCAATGTCGAGAGTGTAGATCCCCGTGTCTTCCAGTTCTGATCCGGAAGTTGTTTGGTGGGGGGGCTGGGGAAGCCAACTGAATTAATTTATCTGTGCAATATGGCAGAGCTGTTATTTTTTATGGCCTTTATTACAGTTAACAGTGTTACCTTGTTAAGATTTATATATTTATATGATCAAAAGTGACCAAGAAATTAAAGCTGTATTCTTAAATCCTAACAGTGAGTGGTTCAGTTTTCTGTAGCCTTCTAGGGTAGATGGTAGATTATTTAATAATCATATTCAACTTTGCAGGTTGTAAGCCAAAGGAAATAAGACTGTTTCTCAAGTTAGCAATAACAGGGTGTTTTGTTGCAGCTAGTTCTGAAGTTGTATTGGACAGTATGATTCAAAGGCTTAGGTTATCATAACAAGCTTATTAGTGTATGGTTATCAGTGTTCGATTTATAGTACACTAATTAAAATGTTAAATTTCATTGAAGGAGATTTCCTTATGGGAATTATTTAATATATTTCCTGTTTTGTCTGGAAATAAGCCTGTCATTGGTGTTTTTAGTAGTGGAGTAAGAAAAGGCAACTTCCTTCTTCAAAAGCTGGTGTGGAAAACCAACCTTGCTACTGTTTTCCCTGCTCTGCTTCTCTCTGGGTCCCTTGGGAGTAGTAGGAGGGTTTTGTTCCTTCACTTGGGGATACAGAATGCTCGGAGGTCTCTTACCAACAAACTGCTATTCCCTAAGTTGGTTCTCCCAGGTAGGAGCTCCAAGTAAGCACTCAGCTGTGTGTATTGCTGTCAATGAGGGTAAGTAAAATCAGTAATGGAGCCAGGTGTGATGGCATGCATAGGTGTGAAGGCACACGTTTGCAATCCCAGCACTCAGGAGTCGGGCAAGAAGATCACAGGTACCAGGACAGCCGGGGCTATAGAGTAAGTTCCAAGTCAGCTTGAATAGCTAAGAAGACCATATATTAGGAAAAAAAAAAAAAAAGACTTAGCCATGTGTAGTGAAGCATGCCTTTAATCCCACACTCAGGAGGCATGGGCAGGCAGATCTCTATTAGTTTGAGGCCAGCCTGGTCCACATAGTTCAGGACAGCCAGGGCTACATAAAGAGACCCTGTCTCAATAAACAGATAGACTTGATAATGTAATCTCTTCTTTGGCTTTTCATGGGCCTTTTGTGTTGTATGGTGACATTTATTCATTTGGTTTGTGGTTCAAATCAAGGAACATATAAGTTTAGGAGCTGTAGGTCAAACAAGTGACCTACATTTACTGTTCAGAATCTAGTGGATGCTACTACAAGTTATTAATATACTTCTGTGACAGTCACTGAATGTGAAATAGAGTTCCAGGCCAGCCTGTGCTGAAGAGGAGCACCCTGTCTCAAAAACACCAAGAAAAGATTGCTTACATAAGGAGCTGTGGGGATGGCTCAGCAGTTAAGAGCATGGTCATTTCCCCACACCCACCTGATTTTTGTGAGAGCTCACAATTGCCTGAAGTTCCACCTCCAGAGGATCTGTCGGATGCCCTTTTCTAGCCTCTGAGGTCACCTGCATTCAAATGCACAAACCTACACACAGACACAGAAGTACAAATGATTGCAAATAAATCTTTTTTAAAAAAGATTGTTTACCCTGGGCAGTGATGGCACATGCCTTTAATCCTAGTGGGAGGCAATGGCAAGCCGTTCTCTGAGTTCAAGACCTGCCTAATCCACAGAGCAAGACAGCCGGGCTAGGCAGAGAAACCCTATCTTGAAAAACAACAGAAGATTGTTTACATATCTCTAGGGGGAAAAATGCTTAAGATAGAGTAGTAAATAGGACAAAGTATGAAAATATTTAAAATAGGTTTAGTTTCTATACAGTAAAACCCTTAAATTCCAGAAGGTACAAGTGAAGTGTTCTGTAAACAGTAATGCATCAATTATGTTGCTTACATATTTACTTAGAAAGCCATAAACCATATAATAAATTTCAGTTTTACTCAATTATTGAAAAAAAAATAGCCAGATGAATGGAAACCCATAAACTATGAACCAAAGACTGAGGGGCTCCCAGCTGGATCAGGCCCTCTGAATAGGTGAGACAGTTGATTGGCTTGATCAGTTTGGGAGGCATTTAGGCAGTGGGACCAAGTCCTGTGCTCATTCCATGAGTTGGCTGTTTGAAACCAGGAACTTATGCAGGGACACTTGGCTCAGTCTGGGAGGAAGGGACTGGACCTCCCTGGACTGAGTCTACCAAGTCGATCACAGTCCTCGGGGGAGGACTTGTCCTGGAGGAGATGGGAATGGAGGGTGGGCTGGGGGTAAGGGGAGGGCGTGGGAGGGGGGAGAATAGGGGAACCCATGGCTGATATGTAGAACTGAATGGTATTGTAAAATGAAAAATATATATCACAAAAAAAAAAAAAAAAAAAAAAAAGCCATAAACTAGGCCGAGAAAAAAGATAAGCACTAGGGAAAGAGACTCAACATTTTAAAGCTAATCATAACATTTTAAACCTTCAGACAGTGCATGCAGAAGTCCTGGTTCAGGTGATAACATACTTACCTATGAACCTTATTTCTAAGGCATCCAGTTAGTGGGCACTTCTGGGGTTTCTAGTAGAGATCTATGACCCTCTGACTTGGTGTGAGGAATCGCTGCCTTGCATAATACAGGCCATTAGCTGAAAGTCGTTTGCCTCAGAAATGGAGGTTGCAGCCAGATGTGGCTAATATCTGTAATCCTAGCATTCAGGAGGCAGAGGCAGCAGAATCTCCAACTTGAGCTACATAGTTCCAGGCTAGGCTGGGAGTAAGGCCCTGTCTGCAAAAAACAAAAGGAATGTAGGTGCTCCCATACTGCTTGGCAATGCCACAGGCCTCTTGGCTGCCTCTTCAAACTGACACCCCAGGAACCTCTGGATCTTTGAAAACTTCATTCTACTTCTTCCAAAGTTAGTAACATGTAGAAAAAGCCTTCATAGCCCATTCATTAAATATAGGCCAGGGGCCGGAGAGATGGCTCAGTGATTAAGAGCACTGGCTGCTCTTCCAGAGGACACCAGTTCAATTCCCAGCAACCATGTGGAGGCTCACAACTATCTGTAACTCCAATTCCAACGGCACCAGGCATGCATGTGGTAAACAGTCATACCCATGCACAAAAAAAAAAAAAAAAAAAAAAAAGACTTATAGGCAATCTCTGCAGCTGGGGTCTGGAACACTCCCACTTAGTATAAATGGATGGGACAGTCTGGCAAAGCTTGGGATGGGCACCCCATCAGTCACCCTTGGAGCAGTCAATACTCCCCCAAAGGCTGGTTGGCTAAGGTTTTAAAATCATAGACATATGGTCCCATGGCTAATCCCCTGCCCTTATTATAATGGGGAAGCAGCTGGAGACCGGGTGTAGACCATTGTACATGGCTGTATGTCACTAAAACAATTGTTCTTGAGACATAAGAGATACAAAAGGGCTGGGGAGATGACAGTGGGGAATGAGCTTGCTGTGCAGGCGTGATGACCTCAGTTTACCTCTCAGCTGGGCACAAAAATTGGGCATGGTGGTATGCATCTGTAACCCCAGCACTGAGAAGCAGAGACAAGTGGATCCCAGGAGATCTTTGGCCAGCCATTCTAGGTGAAACAGCTCTAAGCTCAGCGAGAAACACACACACACACACACACACACACACACACACACACACACACACACACACACACACACACGGGGTGGGGGGTTAAAACCACACAATAGGAAAATTCTAATAATGACCTGGAATTTGAAATTTGTAACTGTCTTGGCTACATAGCCTTCCGAAGGGGCCTCGTTGGGAGATGCAGGGCCAGTTCCTAAGGATGTTTTCCTTGCTGTTCCAAGTGAACAAGATGGAAGAGGAGCTCAGGATGCCTCGCAGGGGGTGCAGATCATATGAGACTGAGTCACAAAAAAAGCAGAGTCCCACTTTGGGGTCCTACCTCATTAATGACTGACTTTCTGACCTTGGTCACAGCACTTTCTTCTGAGTTCTGTGGCTGAGAGTGGCCTGCTGTTAACAGAGAAGGAGGCGACACCAACTTGTCACTGGATTGCCCCAGTGTACCCCCACGGGCACCAGCAGCAGCTCAGTAGCTCAGGGTGATCTCCTGTTTCTTCTTCCTTGCTCTCCACCTTGTACACACAGGCAGGAGGCGGGGCCTTTAAAAAGCTCTGAGTCCGGGGAGATGTATCTGTTTATGAAGTGCTTGCTCTGTATGCACTAGGACCTGAGTTTGAGCCCACATAAGAAAAGTCAGGCATGATGATGTACTCCCAATACCAGGGAGGCAGAGGCAGGAGGATCTCCGGAGCTTGCTGGCCAGCCAGCCTAGCCTACTTGGGTGAGCTATGAGGAACTCCATTTCAGAAGAAATAAAAACAAGGTGGACAGTGTCTCTTGAGGAATGCCACCCCAAACTGTCTTCTGTCTTGTCCATGCATAGGCACACACATGCACACATATGCACATATACACACATGCACCCCCAACCACCCATCCCCACCCCACAAAACTCTGAGACATGCACTGGCCTTTACCCAATGTTCTCATTAGTTCATGTGGGCACTAGAATAAAACCAGAAATCCGTTGTGGGCTGCCGGTTCCCACAGGACCCAACCCCGACCCCAACCACGGCAACAACCTTACTTCCTCTTAGGGAGTGACCCAGGGTGTCCTGTGTAATAGCGGCTGTGGCATCCAACTAGCCTGCCTCGCCACCTTCAGTGGATGTCCATTCTGTGGGTCCTGCTTGGCTCTCCTGGATTCCCAGCAGTAGCAATGTGCTAGGAACATTCAGATGTCTGTCAAATGACTGACAGCCAGACTGGCCCAGGGAGTGAGCTACACCATAGCTGGATATCATATCAAGACAGAAAAGCAAATAAAGTCATGTTTGCCAGGAAATCAATACCATGGGAAGGCCAAGCACACAGAGAGAAGATATGTGATTCCTAACCCAAGAACAAGGCAGACTGGTAGCAGAGGTCAGATGCCAGCTTAGTCCAAACCATGGTTCCAAGACTACACTGGTTAAATATAGCACATGGATTCCTAGGGGAAACCATGTGGCCTTTGTTCCTAACAGTGCCAGGCAAATGAGCCTGTGTAGAATTCACGTTTTTCTAAGAAGACCTTACACGTGCTAAGAGGCTGTAAAGTCAAGAACGTTTTTCAAAGTGGCCTAAA